CAACTATTTTAATTATTTTGTGAATTAAGAAGATGTGTGATAGGTTAATGCAAAGCATTCTATTGCCATAACTCCGACGATTAAATTACATTATATTAATGCAAATAATGCTAAACATATTCTTACGTTATTTTATGTGCTTTAAATTCTTATGTTCGTCGATGATTTCTTTCTCCAGCTGCTGCATATTCCATTAATCTCATGCTGCTGTATACAAAAATGAATGTTTTTTTAATTAAAACTATGATGTTATATTGGGTTTCAAAGCAGGTAGATGATTAATATTCTATAAGCATACCTTCATCAATATTTACTCTTGACTGTGGCTTCATAGCTTTTTTGTTTTAAAAATTGATCAGTGCATTTCATACAAAAAATTAATTAAAATGGCGTAACAAAAATGAATTAAATCAAGACTCACTAATTGTACAAATAAAAATTGACCAGAGTATTTTCTATATAAAAAACAAAATCGAGACACGCACATTATATCGAAATGTTTGTTCATATTATTTTGTGGGATGTACGGTAATTTCACTATGGTAATTTCATACAAAATAATAAAATAAAAAATGAGACCCACACCAGAAAACCAATATATTTGTGTGCGCATTTGAGAGACAAAGAATACCATATATTGATTATTTTTTTTATAGCAAATTTTCTACAAAATAAAAGACAACAATCAAATAATCAAAATAAATTTTCTCGCTTTATACTATATACTGACTAATTCGTTTTTCATAGAAACATCCATCAAATACCAACAATAATTTTTTCACTTTATATCATATATTGATTGATTTATTTGTCATAGAAGAGACCATCAAATACCACAAATAAATGTACCCATTTTATATCATATATCGATTAATTTATTTTCAGATATAGTAAATAAGATTGTTTTTTCAAAAAGAAATTAGTATTTAAAAATAATTAAATCTTTTTATATATTAGATTTATTATAATTTTAAACCATTGGTTTTATTTTTCAAGTTCTTGATTATTTTTTCGTCTAAAAAAAATATAACTACAGTTAAATTAATAACTTTAGATATATTGAATTGTTTAATAATTAATAAATAAAATAAATAAAACTATCAAAACTAACTAATATAAATTTATTTGTCTGTATTAAAGAACATAAATTAAAGCATGTTGGAATATATTATCCTCAAATTCATTATTTTCTATCACAATTCCCAAATATCATGATTGCTTGTAAGTACCTTATTTTTTATAAAGAATATGAATGTTTTACTAAAAAAAAAAAAAGTTTAAACAGAAGGAACACAATAATATTAATTAATGCCCTAACTAACAAATGGTTGATTAAATCAATTTCCACAAAAAAAAAAAAAAAACATGCTTATCAAAAATCTTCTTCACAATCACGGATCTCTAGCAAGTCACAACAAATTCACGGATCTCTAGCAAGTCACAACAAATTCACCGCAGGTAACGAACATTAGTTTTCTGAAATAAGCCGCAAAAACTAATTTTGAAATGAACTAATCCCACAAATTAAGGGAAACATTAATATTTTCCATTTTTCCAATTTTCTTGAATAAACAAAAATTCAAAAACTTACCCAAGTTAGTAAGTATTTAATGTTGACTTAATTTTACCTACATTTGACCTACTATTTTTAAAAAATGGTAATTCTTTTTATATATATATAGATAACATCCAGTTTATTCAAAGTTTGACCTTTATGATTTCGCTTATAATTAATGATGAGTCACTTTTCAAGAGAAAATAATTAAAATATAAAAAAAAAATATTAAATTATAAAAGTGTCAATTATTTAGATGGTTGAATATAAGATGAATAAGTTAGGGAAACTAAGACAATAAATTAAAGTATGGTTTTAATTAATAGTTAGATTTCTTTTTAAATACCACAACTAACGTTTATTTGTCTACCATATGAGATAATCACATAATTAGCTTATTTCTAAACTATAGTTTGAATGAATTAATAGTTAATTCCTTCATAAATTTAAATACCACAACTAACGTTTATTTGTCTACCATATGAGATAATCACATAATTAGCTTATTTTCTAAACTATAGTTTGAATGAATTAATAGTTAATTCCTTCATAAATTTAATATTCGCGGAAATAAGACATCTCGCCCGATTCACTTAAAACGTGGTGTAGGGGAAAGACCTGATTTTGTCTAAGGTATGTGCTTTTTTGTGGGTAGACGACGAAATCTCGATCTGTTCACCTAAAGCTAATATTCGCGAAAATAAGACACCTCGCCCGATTCACTTAAGACGCTTAAAAATCTATTATAAGAAATGGGAAGAAGCAAAGAGCCCGTTATCCATAAAATTCTCAAACCCATAAATAAAAAAATGACGCAAGCCAAAAGATTTCGACAAGGACGGTCGGACCCAACTTACGAGCGGTTGCCTATATGGAGAGTGGTGGCGCAACCACCCTCTCCATACCGTGAAGTCGTTGTCTTTACGGAGAGTGTTGGGGCAATCACTTCATACTGAACGATGACTCCCCTCATGGTGGCGGGAAAGGTCCGATTTGTTCGAAGCCAGTACATCAAGCGTTGACCACATAAATAAGGCATCTCGCGCGATCCTCCTAAAATGTAAAAAAAGGCATAGTGCCATAAAAGTCTAAACATGATATGATCTACATATCTCAACATGATATTTTTGCTATCCATCTCAAGAATAATAATAAATCATTCAAGATAACAAACACCTTTTCCTTCTAAATAACTTTTTGACATGTTGAAACAAATGACTCCGGAAAAGATAAATTAATCAACCAACCATCAAGCTCGGAAAAGACCCTCAAGATTGGGGATTAAGTGAATTGGTCCTGAAGCCTTTTTGAGAATTACGACATTGTTCACGAAGGGCCCTACTCTGATCCACCTACCTCTCCCAGGAAACAGTTGGGGTCTCGCCCTTCCTCCGTTTGTAGCCCCACAGAGGCAGTCGACGCCCCTCTCACTGCCATGAAGGCAGTCGTGCACCAGTCTACCCTTCGTGTTAGCTACCACCATACTCTTCATCGTGGTTTCAGGGAAGGCCTGACTCGACCAAGGTCCGTGCTCTCCTACAGGAACTCATTATTAAAAAAAAAAAAACAACAACAAAAACAACAAATCAAGGAA